GGAAATGCTCCGTCGACGCGTTTTGCCTGCCTACGTGAAATAATTGTAGTCTGTGAATGAAACCTGCGAACGCCTGCAGCTGCAAACATATCGCGTGCGCCGCCGCAAAAAATATTACTTTATGGGCGTTGACAGTAACATGCCGTTAGTTGCTAGGCCGCTCGAGATGATTACTATCGTGCTCGGCTCGAGAAATGCATGATTATTTCTCTAATTAAATCGGTAGTAAGCTCAAAGTTATAACACAGTTTTTTTTTTATTATCTAAAAAATATTTTTTATTATCTGCGACAACATTCGCATCGGTGAACGATCGGGAAAAATAATTTATTATTAAAAAAGAGCGATTATTTTAGACTCTGGAAAGGAAATATTTTTGTCCTTTGAATTTCTCTCGCTTCTTATATTTTCTTATTCCTCGCTTATTACAGTGGATCAGTCACGTGATCCTCTTCGTTGTCCGAGTGGATCTGGTTCCCCATTTGAAGTCCCGTGTTCTCTAACTGTTGATTGTTTTGTCGAAATCAATCGCCATCGTATTAATTTAGCCAGATTCTCTCGATTGCACTCACTCGAGATAGGTGTTTGCAAGCTGCGGCCTTGCACGGACAGCAGCAGGCAGGATTGCGGTTTCTCAACGGCAATCGTTCTCGCGCAAACCGGCTCGTCCATTGATCGGCGTTCGCCAGACCGTGAAACGATCCCGACAGGCTTTTACCGATCACCGCGGTGACATCGCCTCCGTCTGCGGGTCTGTCCACAATGCGCCATTCATTCCGATTAAATGCGCACGCGATAAGCCGGTCGTTCAAAGTCAATTGTCGTAATCGAGATATAATCATCTTTTTTAACGGAAGCAACGCGCGGAAGTCGATTCTCGTGTCGTCACACAAGCACAGCAATGCTACTCTGCAAATAGCCACGTTGTTCGGCTAGTTTAGTTGTTAAAAAACGTCCCGAATATTACACATTCCGCTCTCTCGATTTTTCATCGGTCTGATATTAGTATTATACTTATATTATAAATTTCAGTTACCAATATTTGTGATATTCGCAATTGAAAATTTTTATGCATTGCAGTTTTATAAAAATCCAGCTATTACGCGATACCAACATACCGGTAATTGTTAGCAAAATTATTTCAATATTCAGTCTTTAGAACAACTTTATATGTTTCGATTGAAAAAGATATTATGTTCGTTCCATAACTTACGTTAGGATACAAACGTTAAGATACAAATATTGAAAGTAAGTTATTTTTACTTGATTTGTTTGTATTATCTTATATTTATATAATTTCCTAATTACTGTGGAATATATATATATTAGCTTTTTTTGTAGATATATACTCATTTTATAAATTTTTAACGATAGCTAGGCAACCGGTCTTTAATTACGACCGGTCAGCCCCAATTTATGCTAGATTAACGAGACTTTTCCGACACATAGTGAGATTAAACGCGTCAGGGTTAGTACTTTCTAATTATGTAGTTATACGAGAACCATTAGCCAAACTGGTAATAGCAGGTTCTTCGGCACTTCTTACTCGGTTTTTCACATCAAGTTTGACTTGCAAGTATGACATTGGAAATACATTGCGGTCACGGCTGCATATAAGATGCCGATATCTTACAAGATTTATATTAATGAGATGTGAAGAAAAAAAAAACATTTTTACAAATTCTGTTTTATGAGCGATAAATCAACGTCTAATATAAATGAACTTGGATGAAACTAATATTATTCTACGAAAAATAATTTTTTGATTATTAAAGGAAATTGCTTGAGAATAGAATTGTTTAAAATTATCGCAACCGAAATTTGATGATGATTCTAACGTGAAATAATGGAGCGTTTAGTTTATGGTTTGTTTAATTCCAAATGTTGAATATGATAATATATTTTAAGCATGTGTAAACATGAAAAAACAGTTCTGCTGAAATATTTAAAAGTTTGGCCAGATACAAATTTGAAAATAATTTTGTCAGGCCATCATTAAAAATAATAATTATTTTGTACGTTTAAATTAATTGTTGGAATATTAAAAATTATTATCATATTTAAAGTCCTACACATAATAATTTTGATGGTCCAACGTATTTATTGTCAGATCTATATCTGGCTAAATTTTTAGATACTTGAGCAAAATCTTTTCATATACAGAGAGCAATAATAAACGTCGCGTGTCTTCTAATTCTGTATTGAACACGTAACCCCAAGATAAATGACACGTTAACGCATAAAGCAATATTCTTGATAGAAACGAGAGTATAGTGTCAATCAAATGCCACTGCATTTCATCTAGCTACTCGTACTATCATTTCTGTCTGCCGCATTATTACTGCTGTTATTAGAGAGAGATTGTAAGTGATTGAGCTGTGTTATTCACTCGCAGTGTTATTCACTCCCCGATCACGATTTATGAAAATGTGAATCTATTCAAATAGATGATGAAATGAATAAGGTGAATGAAGTACAACAGAATTATGAAAAAATTATGGAGTAATCTATAGATCGCATAGATATTTTTACGATATTTGGAATGTTTGAACATAAAAACAATAATTCCATAAAAGATACGCACCTGCCATGATAAATCGAAGAACAATAAATTGCCGTATTTGTCACAAAATCTTAAAACTCGCCCCATTTTTCATCTCAAAAGAGCGCGTGGTATATCTTAGACATTCTCGTTCTGATTCTTTACGATAGAGAACGACGGCCAGGAAATTCATGATACAACGAATGACACGTGCGATATGCCTCTATTATAAAACTATCGTAAAAATAATCGCAAGAAGTACCTGTTCAACACAGTGCCACAAGCTCACGCGAAAGTGCGAAATATGCTATATAAATCGGAGAAAGAAATCGCGACGACTAGACGGACCGAGGTGAAGTAATGATAATTGGTAAGGTGTGTGTGTATATAAAATCATGGCTAAAGGTACTATCAAGGACTGCAATGGCGGATGCCCTCTTCGCTGGACTGTCAATCCTGCCGGGCAACACAGACATCTTCTTCAAGCGGCTGCCTTCTATTTGACTGTATTAGCAGTCTTGTGGTGCATTCCTATCTGCATCTATCACCGGTGAGAAAACGTTGTCAAGTAACGTTTCTCGCGTTAACGAGAAGACGAAACAGGCGTTTTTTTTTACACCGACACATATGTTTCTTCAACGATCGATAAACGAGAATAAATTCTTTCACACCTAGAATGCAATCGTGAATTTTTATTATAACTACTATACATATATTTGATTACGTGGAGAACGATATTTGTGAATTTAAGAAAATTGTCAGAATTAAAATATTTTTTAGTTATAGAAAATTTACAAAGAGAATATAATTGGACGATGATTATAATGAAGAATAAGAGGATAATTTTCTTTGAAAAGATTCGATTTCTACATCTTGAAATATATAAAATATGTCTAAAAAATATCAACGAGATTTCTCCTAAATTAAAGATTTATCAAACGTAGTCATGATACAAGATATATAATTTATTAATTTATTCTATAAACTGATCTTATTATATAAAAGTTGTTTCCCCGATTATGCGATTTTCATATTTGCGAGTAATGCGTATCATATTCCAGTACATCAAATATATTATTCTGGTGTTTATTCAATTTTTGTTATTACGACACGTCATATTTTCAATATATATGATTGTAATGAAAAATTCTATGCATTTAAAAGTAACTGCGGTTCTATTTTTAGTATTTCAACGTGTCATATTTATTATCTCTTATATGTATCATAAATGTGTGATACTAATATACATAGATAATTTTCTTTGAGACGTATTTTACAATATTTACTGACGTTATGTAATTTGTGTGTGTGTGTGTGTGTGTGTGTGTGTGTGTGTGTGTGTG